CTGTGCATTAGTTCAGCGCATCCATGTTTCATTGAAATCCAATGAGTGGTTCTTCAAATATCAGTGGAACAGTCATAGAACAGCTTAAAATCAGTTAATTATCATGCAAATTAGGTAATTAATATTCATAGATTTGTACCCAAAACTAATCAAATCTGCGTATTGGTTCAGAGCATCCATGTGCCAAGTTTCATCAAAATCCAATGGGTGGTTCTTCAATATCAGTGGAACAGTCATGGAACAGCTTGAAATCAGTTAATTATCATTTAAATTAGGTAATTAATATTCATAGATTTTTACCCAAAACTAATCAAATCTGCGCACTAGTTCAGAGCATCCATGTGCCAAGTTTCATCAAAATACAATGAGTGGTTCTTCAGATATCAGTGGAACAGTCTTGGAACATCTAAAAATCAGCTTATTATCATGCAAATTAGGTAATTAATATTCATAGATTTTTACCAAAAACTAATCAACTCTGCGCATTATCCCAGAGCATCTATGTACCAAGTTTCACAAAAATTTGATAGTGGTTCTTGACATAACGGTGGAACAAAAAAAGTGACATACATACATACATACATACAGACAGACAGACATACATACATACAGACAGAGTATTAACTGCAAAGACTCCCTTTTGTGCTTCGCACATGGGAGTCAAAAACAGAGATAACTAAAATGAGAATCCACGTCCGGGGTAGGGAAGGGTGTGTCAGCTACGTTAATATTTGTATTGCAAACTTGAAAGAAAAAAACACATATAATTAGGTGTTATCAGAATGCATGTGGGCAGTACCGAGATAAAATTAGCAATCTTCAAAAATGAGACAATATTTGAAACTGGCCCGCAAGAAACAAAGAGTAAAAACGTTGTTTGATTTTTGGGGAAGGGTGAATATTAATTTTTCAGCATAAAAATGCATGACCATTAAAGGTCAAATATATCCAATAGGAGTGCAGAAACTTGTCCACCCTCTTGGTTTATGCTAATTACCTACAAACGGAGTCTAGAAACGGACATGAATGAAAGGAGTACAAAAATCCAGCAACATAAATGAACAGAAATGGCAAAGGACTGGCTGTAGATGAACTAGTATCTTTCTCATTAAAATTTCTCATCAAAAAACTTGTTTTTGGCAGGGAAGAAAAGAGTCAGCACAAGCTACAAATAACTTACGATGTTTCCTATGCGTTAGATCAGTCAGGTTTCAGAGATCAGAAAAAAAAATTAGGTTGCTGTGTGATTTTTGAGAGTGACGCAAAAAGTACTTACTGTTCTTGATTTTAGTGTTTTTAGCTGTTTTGATGGCCTCGTTTAAAGCCTGTTTGACTTCTTGTGACGCAGATTTCCAGTTCTCTGCATCTCCAAGTATAGATGTATCTAAAAAGTATTCACAATAAATTTCAAATTAGCGTAGTCATGAAGAGTTACACAGTCCACATGCAAAATCTAGGTAAGGTAACCATGGAAATATGTATTTGCTTTTATTTGGCCTCAGCATATAAATAATTATGTTGCAGAGTAAATGCAATGATGAATCTAATCGTCGAGTCAGTCCCTAGAAAATCTTTGGTTTTTTTCCTCAGTATCATAACTTTAGTAATGACTAAATGTTTCATTCACGATCAGTGATTTCAGAAGATTTGCATATCGTAAAAATCACAAATACTGATGTTACCTTCTGCGGCACCTCCATTATTTTCCATTGCTGGTCTGGCATATTCTGTATTCTGTTTTGACGCTAGAACTTTTAAACTGGAAAGCAAAAACTCAATTCATTATAAAACTAAAAATAAAAGTTTCCTTCACTCCTCTACTCCAAGCCAAACACATGAACAAATACAAAAAAAAGAACTCTCCAAAAAGTATAGTTTTAATGAACTGAAATAAATCAAATTATAATATAAAATAAGTGAAATTGTGGAATTTCTTTTGCAATCATCCAGACACAAACTTACAGTGATTTTTGCATAATTTTATCCTCGTGAATACTATAAAAATGATCAGAATTGCTTGTGGGAAAAATGTACAAAAGTTATCAAGGGATAGTATGAACAATCATCATACAAACCAAAAACTACATTTGTTGTACTTTCAATCAATAAAATATTACTTTTTATTTTGACCTTAAAAACACTCCTGATTTAAATAAGTACATTTACATTAACATCCTTGCACAAAATTCAAATCATTGGAAGTTTTCATTGCGCTTGAAAACTCTTTTGGTAACAATGCTCATTACCCACAAGTCTCTGCGTCCCTCAATCATGAATGAGAGAAAGAAACATAAATCCCATCAAATGTAGTTTAAAGTGGAGGGGTCATCACCTGCGCACATGCAAGAATTGAGCTAAAAACGTAGAGGCTCATGGGTAGACACTTGTTGGTAAACAATGACACGCTATGGCTGTCTGTCGCATGCGCAGGTGACGACTCCCCCGTTTTAAGCACTTCACATTAACCGCTCAAAGATGTATATTTCAAATAGTATACAAGTGGTTGAGATTGCTGAAGTTGTTCTCAAACTTTTCTTGAAATTTATTTAATTTTATTAAATTTCTGTCACGTTGTGTAGCTCCAATGTGTAAAACAGAAAATTTAGATAAAACTGACAAACTTTCTTGTGTTGCTGTCAGGTATTTGTCTAATCTATGGATTAAGTGTAGCCACTTCGAAACCACTATTTTGTTTATTTGAATCTTTACTAGACGTAGGGGGATTCTGTTGCCGTGTTTGTAGTGTCGCAACAGGCGGTAAAGGTCAGTATTGGGTTGAATGCATAGCCATGACCACTATAATTTGAATGATCCTAAACAATTTTTGAACTCAATAGTATTAAATTACTATGATTATTATATATCTCTGGCAATGTCTGGAATGCTATTGGAAAAGTCATCGGTTTTCCATCTATATCCATGCTTGAAAGGGATCTGCAGACCCGTCCGTGAATATCGATATAATTGTCTAGGATCGATCATTTCACACGTATTGTACTCTTCAGCCGCACCAACAAGTTCGTCAGTACCGCTAAAATAGGCTATGGTCTGACGCTAATTAATTATTCATCCTTGCGAAACAATGACCAACATTCACTGACAAAACGTTCACTGAAACGGATCGCAAACGACCCAGGGAAACAGTATTGGGGAAAGAAAGAACAGTATCCGACCCGATAATCTCAAAAGGCCTGGGGAGAGCACTGCACGATATAACAATTTCAAAGATTAAGCTTGAAAACATTCTATATAATAATTTACTCGTACAAAATGACAAATCTACCTTTCACCTTCGTCTTGCACTTCCTGGAAGATCACCTTACCGAGTCGTTTGATTTTCTTTGCTGAGTTTTCAGCAGTCAAAATAGCACTCCTGAAATCAATAAACAAACAAAATAAATTCATTAAGTACAGAATACTGGTACAAGGACTTGAGAAGTTTCACACATTTTTAAATTTTCTATCAAAGGTTAGGGGAGTGAAAGTCACCTCATAGCTCTATGGATTTCCCTTTCATTTTGTTCTTGGTGCAACAATTCCGCTTCCGCTTTCATGTCCTTTTCCTGTCAAAAAAAGAGTAACATTCTAAATACTGTAAAATACTTTATTTTAGCCGAATTCCATTTTGACTGTTTTGGATGACATATATTTTCACAGATCTTTGATGAGCTGAATGTGATACTATATCATCCCTTCAGCAAAAAAAAAATTCCATGAGAAAATAAAAAACTTTACATAATGTAGCTAACCAATGACGTCACTAAACATTACATTACATGATTAAATATTCATGACGACAAATAAGTTAACAAAAACTACAACAATAATATTCAGGCAATAAAACTCATTCATTCATACCAAATCAATGAAAGTCGGAGCAAAGTAATGTAGTTTGGGTTAAAATTGACTTTACATGTATGTATATCTAAAAAGTTCGAACATAAAGGGTCATGTCAGAGATATTCTTGAAAAAAAAATGGCCACCAGTTGGCCATTTTGATTCCAACCTGAAAAACAAAACGATGTGCATCAAGGGCCTAGAGTGTCCAATATTACACCAAGTTTAAACAAAATCACCCCATGCACCTGAGATCCAGTTTCGACAAAAAGCCAATCGACCATCTTGAATAAGGTTTTGAAACAATTTCACAAGTCGGTGAAAACACATAATTTCGTAGCAGTCTACAATTTCCAGGAGACACAAAGACATCGTAATTTTAACGCAATTTTATCCTCACCAACCAAACGACGTCGCCTGCTGATGTTGATTGGCCCCCTTCATTTTAGCTATCTATAGAGGATTTCAGCAGAAGTGATAAAGGGTCATCATGATGCGTCGCATTCCATATGGATACCATATGAAATATATAGATGAAATATATAAAATTTGAACATGTGCTACATTACAACAACAACCGTCTTTGTAAATTATCAAACACTGACCATTCCTAGTAGTTTACCGTACTAGCAATGAATGATAAAACCTACCAAAGCTTCGTTTGTTTCAACCATCCAAAAACCGACTTCGTCCATCAACTGTAAGAAAT